GTCTTTTGTGATCTTACAAAGCTTCAAACGACGCGTCGACTATTAAATCAGTCGTCGACGATTTTGATAGTCGACGTAATCGTGACTAGTCGACTAATCGTGGCAGCCCTAGTAAAAGCCAAGGCCACCTCTGTTTTAAAAGGTTTCACTGGTGGATCGGGGAGGAGCTCCATCTCAGGGTCGCACCGTGAATCAGAGAGAATTTCACCCACACTGACCAAACTGTGCAAAGTCACAGCTGACTCTCTCGGGGTCTCACGCTGAGGTGGAGTGTTTGTAAGTCTAACTTTGATTCTGATTTTCCTTTTTTGGATTAAAAACACAAATAAAATGTAATAAAGTTTCCTATCGGGGCATGCAGCCTCCAACTCTCCCCATCTTTACAAAAGCATCGGTTTTACTAAGAACAACCGAACAACACACACATACACACACACACACAGGACCCCCAAAACAGGCTCCTGCCAAGGTGACATTTTTTTGTCTAGAAAGTAACATTTTTGGCCTATAAGAAAAGAAAAAACAGCACAAAAATATGAATATTCCATAGTTTTGATCTTGAACCACATCCTTGGCCATCGCCATATTTTCATGACTATTTACTTTTGGGCATCTGATTATTACTTTTGGCCTCCGGGCATCGCAGCCACGAGGCTAGGTGCAACAAGAAGCATGGGTCGTGAGCCTCACTTTACTTCACTGCTCAATTAGCAATGTTAACCTGCTTTGTAATTACCAGTACGCCCTAGCATACTCTATTTGAGCCACTTTTAAAAAATGAACCTCACTCGGCTGAAGCTGGATTCTGACTGATGTTTCATCATCAAACTCAGCAGCAGAGGTATTAATCCAGCTTAATCTGCATCCTCTGTTTGGCTCTACACCAGTGACAGACCTGGAGTGATGATCCGGACACATTGCAGGACAACGCAAATCATCTGGATTAGGGAAAACCCCGAAGCAGGATTATGCAGTGAAAATCTGTGTTTGTCAAAGCCTGAACAAAGAGAAACAAAGAGCCAAACAGCAGACGTGCAGAAGTGCGGACACGTAACACTGATGGCTCCTTCTTGGTTTAAAAAGTCCACAAAAAGGATCCACCTTAAGAGTGTAGCTCTGATATTTAGACAACATGCCACACTGTAGTGTCTCACTGTAGCAACAGAATTGACTTTACTTTATATTTGAGTCCATTTGAGCTCCTTGTGTCCTGTTGAGTTTTTATAAACGAATGACACAGAGAGCAAACTGAGCGTCTGACTATGCAAAGTGAACTGAATGTATGTTTTTACCCAGTAGGTAACAGGATGCATCCTTTCTGCTGTGTTGCTGTTGTCTGAAGACAAATCTTTCCCATCTGTTCTAAGATGGTGGCGTGTAACCAAAAAAGGTTTACCGACTTTCATCTAGAGGCTACCGAGGAACGGGCACTGAAGCTTTAACTATGAGCTGTTCTCTGAAACATATGGCAGCGGCTGCATGTGGTCAGCGTACTAAATCACAGACGAGCTCCGGCAGGAGACGCAGCACAAAGGGTGGAGACCCAACCTAGGGGAGGGAACAGAGACGGCACCCTTTCACACTACCTGACTGATGAACATGTACTCTGCCTTTGCAGGCTGTGTTTTACTCTCAGAATACACGCTGAGCTTGATTTAACAAACCTCCGAGTGGAGACTTGGGAGCTGGACTTGAACCAAGTTTTTTGCTGAAGTGGTTCATGGTCGGAGGGAGGATTGTTGAAAGTGGGAAATGAGTCACATTTTGCCCTCTGTGCATTTAAGTTACTGCGGGGGCATAAAGTGTTTGGTTGCATCGGCTCATTTTAATGTCATAAACTCAGTTTCACTAATTAAACTAGCTGAGATTACTCTATCAGGATACGTACTGAATCAAAACATATTAACACATTAAGTCATATTCAATATTAAAGAAGTGGTGTGTTCATTTAATATCGTGGAGAAGTTTAAACTCTTTTTTGTCAAATAGAATTGTTTTTTATTCTGACCTCCAAAACTTTAGAGAACAATATAAAAAAATGACATGTTCTGATTGGATTCGGCTTGTAACTGATGAAGACGTCAATCTCACAGGTTTAACACGGAGCTGTTATTCCTGTTTAAAGTGTCGTGCTTCTTCCTTGGATTCCTCTAGATTAGCTTGTCTTAGTTTATATTTTTTTCTCAACCCACAATCATATTTATTCAACTTTCACTTCATATTATACAGAAAACTATTAGCTAGAAACTACTACTAGGGATGCACCGATACCGATACCGATACTGGTATCGGGTATCGGGGCCGATACTGTAAAATGTGTGTGTACTCATACTCGTAAAAGTTAACCGATACCACAAACCGATACTAACTTATTTCATTAATCAGACGGTGGCTTGTCATTTCTGTTGTACTTTTTTAGATTGGCCACTAGGGGGACATCCCGCGCTAAACAGGCACAGGGTTAGGCGAGTGAGACTGGCAGCTCCAGATAAAAAAGAGAAACTGGAGGCTGCTGTAGCTAGGCTAAACAAAATGTCAGCAGTGTGAAACAGCCAACTTTAACTCAGGTTTTGGAAAAGCGATGAAAAATGTCAAGAGAAAATCCACGGGCAGTTTAAATAACAGAGGCTCTGACTCATTTTATCGCTCTGGATGACCAGCCAATGCCGGTCGTGGAAAACATAGGATTGCACCGTCTTCTCAGCATACTCGAGCTGCGATATGAAATATAATAAATAAACAGAAGTGTTTATTTATTATAACAATATTAATATTAATATTATTAATATAATAATAAATAAACAGAAGTGTTTATTTATTATTCTGAAAGCTCGAGACAGTGCCAATAGTTCAGTGATATTTTGTTAAATTACAATGTGGAGACTCTGCAATAATTTAACAGAAGTGATTATTTTTCACTTGAAATTTTTTTGTGGTCATTTTTATTAAGATATTATTTTTTATCGGCAGGGGATATAATAAAACCTGTCTTCCAATTAATTGTATTTGTGTGTGTGTGTGTGTGCGTGTGGTAGAAGTATCAGTTTTTGTACTCTGTATCGGCAAGTACTCAGATCCAAGTATCGTATCGGTTTGAAAAAACTGGTATCGTTGCATCCCTAACTCTACTAATTTTTTTTTTTTTTCTGATGATCTAACCTCTGTTCACAAACGATCTGTGCTGATGTCTGGATGTCTCAAAACCTGAGACATTTAGAACTGAAGGCAAACTTGAGACAAAACTGAAACATTTTTTGTTGGTCTAAAATCTCAGACGTGTGTCGGAAACACAGCGTGCTAGTCAGAAAGCTTAGCATGATTTGGACGATCTCACTTTTGATAATGATAGCAGTAAGGTCAGCAGGACAAGTTCCTACCAAAATGTAACAAATGTTCTGTAATATTCTAAACTGCAGATCTTTTAACTATTTCTAGATCAAAGTGTGCAGACGTTGATTTCAGTAAGTGTGTTCTTTGGAAGTGTGTGTGTGTGTGTGTGTGTTAACTTGCATTTTATTTCTTTGTAAAGTTTACTTTGGGTTTTTTCCCTGCCTTAAAACAATACAAACCTACACAGGTCTAATGTTTGTGTTTCCTGTGTTAAGCACATAGAGCTGTAATGGTCACTGCCATTGTAATTTTAAAATCTGAGGTTTGGACTTTTACATAAAGTGAATATCCATCTGTCCCCGGGTACTTTATGGAGCCCTGTGGTTAAAAACTTCCTGGTGGACCACAAGCCTGGGAATTTGATCAAATGCCATTTAATTTAGGAGTAAGCATCATCGGAGCTCTAAAGAGAAGGAGAGAGTGAGAATTCCAACACAAAGTGAGTACAGCAGGACATACTTAAATGTTTTTTACTGAATGACTCAGGTTCCTGTGCAGTTACTTGAATTAGTAAATATAAAGAACGCCCAGTGAATTAGGGATTTTTTTTAGCCCTTGCTGGTCTGGAGCCTACTCTCGATGATTCTCTCTGAAGACTGTAAAACATTTACAGACTCCTCATCTATTAGCTAATAAAGTACAACGGAAACTTCGCACGTTGTTGATCTTTTTCATTGGTTTCAAACTGGATAAATAAAACTTTTACATCTTCCCAGCGAAACCTCACAAACAGAATCTCTTTTTTTTCTGTGCTCCAGAAAAATGAAAACATGTACAATGATTAGAAAAATATTCATGTACTCAGTATTCAAGAACTGGCAATTTAAGACCTAACCGCTTTGTTTTTTTTGTGGTTACTAATATGCATCACATGTGAGTTACTGTGGTGAATGTGTATCAGTGAGTGAGGCAGTTATTAAGCCAATAAAGACTTAATAAGACCCACAAATGTTGTGAAAACTATGTTACGGGTTATCATTCCAGACAAACAGGAGTAGCAGAAATACAGCAGTATAATAAAGCGTAATGAATATCTGAACAGTGCTTCTGCTTTCAGCTGTCAGGAAAAATGTTGAATAACTTCGCTGTATATCTCGCAGCTCTCCCAGCAGGCCCGAGAGCTGCTGCCGCTGCCTTCAGTGTCTCCATCCCAGACACACGCAGGGCCAGGCTGCTGAAGGATGCTGCCCACGGTGCGGACGTGTTTCGCTGACATCAGGACCTTTGTAGCGGCTCAAAGTGTCATTTAGCGCTGGTAAACAAACACACAGCCTCCGATAGTACGAGCCGCGCGCGACGCTGTGATTTGACACCATTCTCCAGCCTCGCGCGAGACCTCGTTTTTATTCATTATTATTACTCCGCAGAGAATAAGAAACAAAGCTGGGGCATGGCTACAAAGAAACAAATACGCTTGTAATTACCTTGATTCTCTGGTGTATTCCTGCGCTATCCGTGCAGTTACCGCTCCGTTTGCTTTGGGCATTCTCTGCTGAAAGTGCAGCTGCAGCAGAACAAGCCACCGGGCTGGTAACAATAGCCTCCCCCTCCGTCAATCCATGGGTTACCATCAGACACAGCACACAGGAGCACACGGACGGGACACAAACCCTCCAGGTCCGCGATCCAAGCAGCGGCAGCGGAGAAGACGCACTGAGCAGGCGCCGATCGTCAGCCGTGTGTGAGCTGTAAACGATCCGGCCTTAAAGAAACAGAACCGACAACAGCTGTCCCGGTGGAGACGCAAACACCAGCATAGAAGCAGTAACCGGGCTTTCTGCTGCCGACATCTGCTGGAGAAACACTGCAGTGCAGGGATGGAGGCGGAGAGGTATGGAGCGCCGAGAGTGCCAGAATGAAATAACTGCGTGCAGTTCATTAAAAGTGTCATTGATCTAGTCAAGTTGGAAATACACAAACAAATACATATTATTAATTAATTAAAATAAATATAATAAATGCATAATTAATTTCATTTAACATAATTATTGATGGTGGCTGTATCTGCATCATAAAATAATTAATAAATAATATTTTTTATTGCTCATCATCAGATGATACCTAACATCTGATTGGCTACCCTGCACAGAAACTCAAGACAGACTGAGCCCAGAGTCACTCAGGCCGCATCGAACTGGTTTGATTTGTTTGTTCCTGAAGCTTCATGACTGGATAGTTTTAGTGGCTGACTGGACAGAAACGTTTAGAGCAGTGTGTTGATGCTCTTCATGGATATGCTGAAGAGCGACGTCAAGCCGAGAAATGATTAAGATGTCTGTTTTGAATTTTTCTCAACTGGAATTGAAAGTTTTGGAAATGTACTAATAAAAATACAATATAAAATATTAATAATAAAAATTATATTCTTGTTACGTATGTACCCTCTCTCCTCCCCAACAGGTGGACCAATCTCATTTAAACGTTGCAAGAACATCATCACACATACAGCATCTAAGTACACAGTTACACAAAACATGCGTTTGGGTCTCCACCTGAAGGTTGTACTTGCTAATGTAGTGATGTAAAAGAATGAACATGGTTTTGTTGTGGTTAAATTCCTGTTAAACTTGGGATCGCAACCATGGCTTTATTTTGAAAGATTTGATTTTAAAAGTCTGCTACTAGTAAACTGGTTTTCCCTAATCTTATCCCGTTAGTGGCAATGAAGCTTTTGCTGTGGTAAGTTCTTCCTCAGTCTGACCTGACTGAACATGAGTTTAACCCTTTAAGACCTACTATAGAACCAAGTCCGCCAGAGCTTATATTATATTTTACATGCTGTAGAGCCATTTTTTGGAGCATTTCAAGTTGCTATACATCAATACAACCATTATAGCCTAAATCTTAATAATATGT